CACCTTCACAGGCCTCATCTACATCCTGCTCAAGCACATGGTGGACCGGCACAACCTCTACTTCGTCTATCTCTCCGCCAAGATGGAGAAGGTGCCGAGGCTTCACCTGTTACTCAATGGGAATAGGACAGGGGCCTCAGGATGCCCCACAGAACACCCAGTCTGCCCTTTTTCCAGCCTGCACCCCACAGCCCTGTGGCCTCTACCATATAGGCCTGGCCCTAGGTCTCTCCTGCCACTTTTGACCCTGCTACTCCTAGCCAGAAAGTGGAGGCTATGAACGTTCCCCCTTCCACTTGGGCTCCCCAAGGAAGTCAGAATCCTAGCACAGAGGAAAGGGGAGCTCTGTGGAGTAGTCTGGAGCACAGCATGGCATTTGTCACCAGTGGTTCTCAGAAGCAATATAATTTGTCATGTAAATCTGTGGCTTCACAGGAGAATAGGGAGAGGGCGGTTGTGACTGAGCCCCCAGGGTTTATTGTTGTGGGTTCAGGGCTCGGGTTTGGGACAGTGGCCTCAAGAGTAAGTAGGAGAGGCTGTTGGCCTGGGAGGCCCCACTCCATCCCGCACGTCACTGATGCTCCACCAGTGTCACAAACTTGCGGATGTCTTGGGCCAGCAGCTCGGGCTCCTCCAGGGCAGCAAAGTGGCCCCCACGGGCCATGTAGGAGTAGGAGAAGAGCTTGGGGTACTTGGTTCTCACCATCCTCTCAGGGACGTGCAGTAACTCACAGGGAAAGGCAGCAAAGCCAGTGGGCACGAATACCTTCATCCTGGAAGGACAAGGGGCCCACAGAGGAGTCTGAGGATCACATGCAGCCACACAGAAAGGAGCAGACTGGGGCTGCCATGGCCATCTACCCAGCATTAGTTCTACCTCCTTTTCCTGGTAGAAGTCTGGGTCAGGCTGCCTTCCCCTCAGGGTCTCCCTGGGGACCTGGGAAATCCTAGCTGCCCCAGCCCTACCCAATTTATATGGCTGGCTGCCCCACATGCTGGCCAGGCTCACGTCTCGTGCTTCTGGGTCATTAGGCCATGGCCCAGGTTCTCCTTGTAGTAGCGCTGGGAGGAGGTGATGGTTCCTGTTGTCCAGTAGAGCATGATGTTGGTTAGCAGGTCATCCAGGGAAAACTTCCTGAGAAGCACAATGGGAACCCAGGCTGAAGCAGGAGCAGGGCATAGCAGGCAGAGCGCTGTACAGCCCCAGCCCTGAAGTGCTGAGCTCCCATAGCTAGGCTAGCCAGATGCTGCAGATGCCTCTCCAGAAGCAGTCTACAGCCTGTTCATCCTCCTGCAGCCTATTCCAGTCAGCCCTTCACAACACATACTGGGCTCCCAGGTTCTCAGGAGGAGAGGCCCAGGCTTCAGGGGGCACTGCCCCTGGATACCCTGTACTACTCCTATTCCTCATCACTCCCACTGTGAGGCTTGGAGCAGGTCACCAGACCTTCAATGCCTCCACAGCCCCATACACATGAGGTCATGCTAGCCATGGGGTCAGGGTTTGTAGAAAAGTCCAGGACACTGGTGGCCACCCTACCAAGAGCAACAGGGGAGAGGATGAAAAGGAGGTTGAGGGTGGGCAAGGTGCCTCACCTCTCCAGGCCTCCATCCTCCAGGTCTCGGAATTCTGCACTGGTCCAGGTAGAAAACTTCTCCAGGATGTATGCAGCCAGTCCCACAGGAGAGTCATTCAGAGCACAGCCTATGTGGGAAGAGGCACAGCAAGACATACCTGCCTACCCTAACTCTGAGGTTCTCATACTCCACTTCCCCCACCCTTCACCTCTGCACCCCCAAAGGCGAACCAGGGTCATCCCTCCCAGATCTAGTGGTGTCTCACACACCACAGGTATAGTTTCCTTCAGACTGAAAGATCCACAGCTCTGGGATTGGTGTGAGGTCTCAGTTAGAAATATATAGGAATGGGGCTTCTACGTTATCTGTTAGTGGTGGTGGGAATTAAACCCAGGGCCTCATGCGTGTAAGGTAAATGCTTTACCACTGAGTCACAACTCAGCCCAGCCCACAATGCTGGTTTTAAAAGAGTCTTTTTGTTTGTTTTTTTCAGGGGTGGGGTATTTGTATTTTCAGGAAGGAAGGAGAACTTACAGGTGATTTTCCCTTCTGCTTTATGCTTTTTGAATTAAAAAAAATTTTACAGTGAGCATATAACTGGAGAAAAAACTATTTTATAAGTTGCTGTTGTGCTCATGAGCTGCCTCCGTGTGTGAATGTGTTGCCGTGAACACTGGGAGAGGTTTCGGTGTAGGCAGAATAACTTCAGGAACTGGCCAGTCGGGCCCAGCAGTGAGCCCGCAGGCACCTCTGGGGCCACGTGATCCTCTGGGTCCCCGTCTTCCCTTGTCTTGGCAGCTCTGTCAGTTGTAACACTGGGAGTGATACAAATGATTCTTGTCTGTAGTGAAGCAACTGAGCTTTACACAGTGGACATTTATTGTTCTGTGGATGTGGATGGGTTCTGCCTCCACTAACAAATTAAATTGTTTACTTACTTGCCTCTGAGTACTTGTTGTTTTGTAACATTTTACTAGTTCATGAGTTAATGAGTTCGATAAGACTTTAGACATGTTCATTTTATATGTGCATGAGAATCATGATTTTTTTAGCATTTTTAAAAATTGGGCTCCACCATAGCCAGGTGTGGTGGCGCACGCCTGTAATCCAAGCACTCAGGTGGCTGAGGCAGGAGGATCACTGTGAGTTCGAGACCAGCCTGGGCTACATAGTGAGTTCCAGGTCAGTCTCAACTACATAGTGAGACCCTGTCTCAAAAAAACAAAAATTAAAGAAAAATTTTTTAGAATTGGCACTTCTGGTGGCAGAAGTGGTTGATGGGCCCCCTCACTGTTGTGGGGAAGTCCTCCAGTCCCTAGGCACACTCTCTCTTGGCCTCATCTCCACAGACTGCCTAGACTCAGGTTTCTCCAGCCCCTGACTCTTCCTTCCCTCCCTCTACTTCTTAGTATTCAACGTGACACAGGCTGAGAATTGAGGCAGGGGGTCAGCCACCAAAGCCACTGTGAATCCTGCATCAGGTAAACAGCCGGATTAGCCTGGAACTGGGTGGCCATAGGCAAACTCGCTTCTCTAGGGGAATTCCATGAAGGGTCGAAAGAGCTCTGAGTCCCTTTCAGGGGTTTTCACCTGTGAGCAGTGTCCTGGAGACCATGAAGTCTCCCACCCTTGCGTACTCACCCACAGTGTCTGGCTTGGTAGCCTGGATGTGCATGTAGCCACTTTCCCTCATGATGCTGTAGAAAACCTTCTCCTTGAAGGGGAAGAGCAGCTCCATATCTCTCTCGGTGTAGCCAAGAAGCCCCCCGATACGCCGCCCCAGGAGAAGACCCAGAATGTGAGCACTTCTTATAATAAATGCCATATTCAAGTGCAGGCCTTTCACGTGGCTGAGGGCAGAAAGCAGTTCTGGTGAGGCTGGGCTCACATCAAGGGGGGGGGGTCAGACAGAGGCAAGAGCAGAGCCCAGTGGGGATGGCCTCCCTGATCTCCCTACCTGGGCAGCCCCTGGCACATGGACCCAGGTAAGCTGCTGACAGGCAGGGCTGGTGCAAGCAGCTGTGCCCAGTACCACATCCTCTTGGCCATACATCCCTGATAGATCTCACCTGGGCACCAGCTGGGCCATGTTAGTGCAGATCAGGGATCCCCAGTCTCCTCCCTGAATATAGAACTCCTGGAAGCCCAGCCGCAGCATCAGCTTATAAAAGATCCTGGCAGTGGCCACCGTATTCAGGCCTGGTTGTGAAGAAGAAAACAGAGTCACGGGGAAGTCAGTCCCAGAGCTTGGGGTAGCCCATGAATTCCTTAGACCCAATGCCTCCAGTGGCTATGAGGCCAGCTTCCCAAAGGCAGAAGACACCCAGCATGATACTGTGAGGCCAGCACCTGCCTCAAGTCAGGCAGTGGGCAGACAGCACTGCTCTGCTGGGCTCAGGCAACATTGCTGGCCTGGAAAGGCCTTGGGCCGGATCCCAAGTGACCTGGTCCTTTGGCACAAGATGTCTTTCAGACTCCTCCTGCCTCATCCTCCCTGAGCCAGGTGGGAAGCCCAGGCCATGCTGGGCAGGACAGGGT